ACATCAGACACTTCCTTTGTCCCGATTTGCAGGAGGATTGCGACGACAATTACATCGAAGATTGAATTCGAATGTCAGTTTTACCTGTAATGTTGGTTGATGTACCTGTCGGGAATTCTTGATCGCGTTAATTATTTAAAATAACAAACGATGTACGTGGATAGAAACCATTAAGATATACAGAATGACGCTTGACAAGTTCCTATCGATCGTGTTTCTATATTACGAAAATGTTAACTTTTCGTCGAGAAAGATAACTTCATTCGACCATAAGAATATGTACCTACTTCCTCCGAGTGGTATACCTATTGTACAGTAGACTCACGTTAAAGTAGCGGTACGGGGCTCTCGAGGCGAGTCTTTCCTGGAACGCTGCTTTAACGCCAGCCAATGGGCACGCAGGATCTCGTGGTAGTTTGATCGATTCACCAATTCGATCAGTAGTTTGGTTACAGATGGCGACCGATAGTGGAGTTGCGCGCACGGTGTGTGAGTAACGCGTGTGAGCTGGGCCGTTCCTACCGCTACTTTAACGCGAGTCTACTGTATATCGCGCCTGTAAACCATGGATACGTACACCAAGCGCGCGCACTCGTACGTTTAGTTCTCGCGCACACCCGGGAAGTTATTAACCCGCTGGAAACGCTGTTGCGTTTGTGTGTTTGCCTTTTCGGCTCGCGGCATAAATTACATCACGCGCGTGTGAAATTTATGCGCGTTCCCAGATATTTCGAATTCCGTCAACGACTACCGGGGACGCGTCGTTTCCGGAGCATGTTGTATTTTTTTTTTTCAACTGTGTTTCGAGTTTTTGTCAGCGACGATAATCTACAACGCGCGCAGCGGTCGTCCAATTTCGTACGCTGCGCGTAATTCCTGCGATTAGATGACGTCTCGACCGGTACCGAAACTGGGTCGAAAGGGGAAGGGCTTTTTTCATATAAGCCACGGGAACCGACAAGCTGTGCGTTCTCTTTTCGCGAGACACTGCCGTGCCGGAAGGAACCGCTTTTTCCCCCACTCCATCCTCTTTTGCTCGTTTTTCCCCAAAGAGGCTCTCCTCGCGGTCTTAGGCCTGGCCGTCGACGTCGTCTACTCTTTTGTGGCTTCCGTTTCACAAGCACCGATGCTCGTCCTGGGATCCTGGCCGATTCTCGCGTGGTGGTGCTGGCTCTGTCTCGACGTCTCGGTTCACGCATGGGTGATTCACTATAGCGAGGACAATGGAGTCGGCAGCAACGAGCTGCCAAAGACACCCGGCGAGAGAATGAACCTGATATTCCCAGGTAAGAGACGTTGAACCGCCTGGGGGAGGAGGAGAGTTGGAACGGGTTGTGTATGTGGAATCGTCGAGCATAAAAGATCGAGATGAAATCTGTACATAAACCAGGCCTCCAGTTCCTAACGAGCTTCCTCGTTCTGTTGCTGCTTCCTTCCGGCAGGGACGAAATGGTGCGGAAGCGGTAACGTGGCGACGGGCCCGGAAGACCTCGGGAAATATATGGAAACCGACGCCTGCTGCCGTGAACACGATATGTGCAACGACGTGATCGAGGCCAGACAGACCAAGCACGGGCTGACCAATCCCGCCTTCTACACCAGGTTCCGTCTAAACTGGATTCGTAATCGCGAAGTTTTGTTCGGGGTTGTTGCCTACGATGCAGTTTATTGTCTCGAGACGACGGTAGCCGCTTTACCCCTTGTCTAGGCAACCTGGTACCCAGGTACCCATTTTTACATTTCTTTTCACAATTTTTTATGTCCTCTAAAATAGCACTTGATAGATTATAGGAAGGGAGAACTAAGGGTTTTGGAAAAGTATGAAATTAAAATATCTATGTTCATCAAATCTGTCAGAATAGAGGTATTCCGATTACTCAATAACCGTGAATGTTTCAGTTGCCTACACAAGGGTTAAATTAGTTCCCCTTCAGTTTTTCGAACGCCGAACGGGGGTTCAATGTTCCGTGCAAGGTGTCCAGGGATCCGACATTCGTTACAAACTATGAATAAGTAAACGCGTTGTTCGCGACGGCACCGCGAATTATCGGACTGATAGATCGTTAACGGTCCCTGTAATGCCGGGTTCGCGTGAACGCCTACACAGAACTTTTCCACCGACCGAATGTCCAACGTTCGCTGAGAAATTGCGCGCGATTACGACGTGCACGGTGCCGCGCGAATTGCAGGCGTGTCGAGCCGGCTGCAGCAGCCAGTCTCGTGTATGAATCACTCGCGGGCGAATATCGAACGGAAGGCGAGTCGAGATCAGCAATAACCGGCCGTCAGAATAGCGCGTGGCGAATTGATCGTCGGATATCTAGCTTCTTCTTCTTCTCGTATAAATACTCGGCCGGATCTTGCGGTACAGTAAATCCTCGACGAGTGTTCGAAGGCTGCTCGGCACTGAACATTAAATATTTCATAAACTAATGGCCATATGCGGCTGAAACAAATATCATTGGTTCCAGAATTGCCTTACGATTTTTTTTGACGACTGTACTTTCAAGCATTACTTTATCGTTAATAATTTCCCAGATAAAAAAGGAATTTTATTCTTAGGGCAAGTGTATCATTTACTCTAAATCTTAAATATTAATACTAATGAAACAGAATTTCACTTCGACTCAAAGAAAATTAATGGCACACACGTTTATTAAATCCAGTTTGAAATCGTCATCACGTGTCTGACTCGATGTTATAAGAGAAGGGGTTAAAAAGTCAGTGTTACACCCGGGCACTTCTTGCCAATGCTGATGAGCCTTCGAACACTCATCGAAGATTTACTGTAACCGTTTATAGTGGTTCTCTGTGGAAACGATGCGTGTGGAAGAACAGGAACGAGAAAGGTTCTCCTCGACGCGCCGATTCGATAGGGAAAACGCGATAGGGGACCAATCGGTATGGGAAACGTATCTGTTTAATAGGTTGCAATGTGCCTGCGACGAGAAGTTCTTCGACTGTCTGCGTCGATCGGAGGACGGAGCCGGAAGCAGTGTAGGGTTCTTCTACTTCAACGTTCTAGACACGAAATGTTTTCGGGAGGACCATCCGATCGTGGGTTGCAAACGCGCGACGACGTAAGTCTGACTATCGAGCCACGGCATTCAACTGCAGTTACGAATATTATCTAATGTGTAATTACTCGGAATATTCTCGCCCGAGAACTGCGACTGCTATCTCGAAAGCGGAGCCGAGTTTAAGCCAGTTTAAAGAGGACCTTTAACGATCTCCCCCCTCCGACAGCTTACCGAGACGGTGTTTGGAGTACGAGCTGGACGAAAGCCAACCGAAGAAGTACCAGTGGTTCGACGTGCCTCCGTACAAGTGACGTCTCGATACGAATAGTAAAAAAAATATGAAAAAAAAAATAGAAAAAAAGCCCTCTGATATACATGTACAGACGAGATATAGGTAACAAAATTATAAGTAAGGTTTAAAACGAGAACAAGAAAAAGAAAAAAAGAGTAGTAGTTACCTAGATAGTATAGAGATTAAATTAATCTGGTTCGAGTAGTGAACGGTGCCTAATCGAGGGTCGCGTTGTACAAAGGTTGATGTCAGCCAATATTTTGGGGCTATCTACAATGCCGTTTAGTATCTTATGAGCAAAGAAGAGACAATAGATTTAAGCGGTGTACAAATGGAATACAAAGAATTACTGTAATGCTGAATAAATTCGTCACCAGTTGCGTACCATTTGCCTCCATGAAATTAAACTATCGAACGTATTCTTTGTAAACAACCGAGAATTCATAGAACGGTCCGTTTATGTGGTCTACGTAAACGACCGTGAACATATTGCAACGTGTTTTCCGTGGCGTCTAAACTTGCGAAAGAGAAGGGGGTCTCGATGTGGCCGAGCGCGTAACGCGAACGATAAGCGAGCAGAGCCTCGATTGGCCTCACCTTTCCGCGCGTTTTCCTCTATTTTACGGGCGAGGGTGTGCGGGCAGCTGGCGCTTAGTGGAGGATTTCCTCGGAAATTTATGTCCGGATCGAGCGCCAGTCGCGCCGTGCAACGCCACACCTCGCCTCGCCTGGCCTCGCCGATTTACAACTTCTCCGTTCACCTGTACGGACCTCTCGAGCAAGCATAAGTAAGTACGCTAACTTGGTTTCCAGCCGGGTAGAATTCCCCGACTAATTGTAAGTCTTATCGATACGAAACAACCGATCAAACGAATTCAACGATTCATTTTATGTCATAATTTGATGACCAGAGTATAGAACAATACTCCGATAAGGGATCTGACTAGTGAGCAATACAGCAGAATCAAGGTATTGACATTTTATAGCATATTTAGGAACTCTATTAATATAACCAAGTGTTCTTAATGCTTTAATTAGAGGAAAAGATAATGCATAAGTTGCGAATACTTCTCCTAGGTTGCAGAACCACACCATTAAGAGTATAATCATAAACAAAATTAATCATTTCAACGCGGCGCTCACTACGGTTAAGTTTTAATTTATTACAGGAGCACCAATATCGAAGTCGGGAAATCGTTGATTTTTCGACACGACTTTCTACTCGAACTTCTTCTCGGGAAAATTTTTATCGAGACGGCGGCTGCCTCGACCGATTCGGGGCGCTCCCTCGTGTAATCACAGGCAGACCAGCGTGGAAGTTACAAAATAGAAGCCGAAAGATGTTTCGGTTCTACCTGACGCGCACGCACGAACGCGACGTTGCGCCGTTACGGTTTCATTTCTATGTTAATTTAATGCGGATGTAAATCCTGAAAATTACCCGGGTGTAATGGAAACGTTCCGCGACACCGGTCTGGATTAATCGCGACGTTGAAGGAAACACGCGTATCGTCGGGAACTAGCCTTCAGGGCGGAGCGAATGATGAAAATCCCCTTTTATTTAGACAGACACATACATCCGTGGAACAGTGTCCGATGTTAAAGCAAACACCGTACGATATACGTTCCCCCGAAGTACCTGTTTGACGAACATCTCTCTAATTTCGCTTACGTGTGTTTCGTTTCAGACGTGGCGGCCTCGGTGGAAGTTCACTTCGAGAACAAGGATGGGGGATTCTTCTTGAAGCACACACCAAGGCAATTCTACGCCGCTCAAGGGGAAACCGTCCCGGCAATATCTCCATCGACGGGGACATCGTCGGCGGGGAATGGTGTTCCCTCGCCGTCCCCAGACTCGGTCCTCTCGATAGACAAATTCACGGTCTTTCAGACGAGCGAGCCGGTCTCCGTTCGTGCGACCTACGGTCCGTTTAGCACCAAACAGACCGTGCCCGCTCGCTATATAGTCCCGGATCCGTTGGAGGCTTTACCGGGACCGGAAACGCGACGAAATCTCACGGCTGCGACGATGCTGGACGCCCAAGAACTCGGCGCCCGTCACCTGGACATGTCGGCTCATCTGGTCGGGAACAGCGTGCCACGTGACTCGCCGGTGCTAAGAGTGCTCTTTCATGCCGGAAGCGAGGCAGGCGGAAGGCGTCAGTTGCTTCTGGCTCGACATCAGAGGGTTTGCGTTGTTCTGCACGCGAGTCTAGCCGCCCCAGCTAGAAGAACAGCCAGTCGAAACAACGGCAGAAGCTACTCCTCCTCTTCCTCCTCCTCTTCCACCTCTTCCTCCAGCTATTCATCTTCGTCCTCAGCGTCCGCCTTGACGGCTGCCTGCAGTCCCGACGGAGAGAACGGTGTTTGTCTCGCGCAGATCACCATACCAGCCGATTGGTGGGCACCGTTACCACCACCGGACGCTTCCGGTCGGGTCAAGGTCGCCAAGACACTGCCAAGACTCGTGCAGGTCGCTTACTCGGTGCTCGAACCACGAACCGAAGACGCCGCCGGCGGTGGCGGTTCGACGGACAACGGGGTCGGTTATTGCAGGCCCAGGGTACAGATTCAACCTGTCACGCCCCTCGGACAGATACCGCTCGCGCCGAACCGGGCGGATTACAAGGAGCTCAAGGCCGATGACTCGTTGCTGACGTTGCTGGTCCCCCACGGGCCTCTGTATCCGAGATCCAGGTTACACGTTCCAGCGTTCCTGCATCCGTCCAAGCCCTCTGATCTGAGGCAAGATAGACCACCGCCGTTGGTCGTCACCGTTTATCTAAGGTGAGCCTCTTATTTTTCTCGAGAAACGTAATTAAACCCTTGCACTATGATTTTCATGATGTCCGCAGTCTCCCGAATTACATTGTTACCGATAGTTTCCCAGAAACGTAAGGAAGTCCGTAGTTATTGCAACAGTACTTTTACTGTAAAAGTTAAGTATTAATACCAGCAACGTGGTACTTCACTTCGACTCAAAGAAAACCGAATAATATTCTTCTTTGTTGTATCGATTTTCAAATCGGCAACACGAGTCTGACTCGATGTTATAGGGCAAGGGGTTAACCCTTTTAATGCTGCTGATATGCCTATACTGCTCGGTTCAACCGGTTGCCGCTCATAGGCGCTCACTTCACATTGCTTACTACAAACGGTTGTCGCCTACAGGCGCTCATCGATCATTTTTCATCATAATGATTCAGTATTTCGACGATTTCCATATAAATTCTGAAAAATGCACACTGACAAAAATTTCCATCCTTCGTACCGTATATCGCAGCAAACCTTCGATCATACGTCTCGCGCTGTATGTCTCAATGTCTGCAGTAGCGAAAGGGTTAAGAGGATTTCGTGTAAAGTTGTGTCGGACGGGACTGCATAAAAAGCTGTGCTGCGCTGAACGCGCGCGACAGTAAATTAACGGGGGCTTTTTGCCGCAGCTCATGTTTCTTGCGAGTTCTCCTTCGGTCGCGGTCAACGAGCGCCCGGAAAAGTAATTTAGAAGGAAACGAAGCTTGTCGTGAGATCGGTTGGAAACAGTCACCGCGGCGGGCACACTTTGTAAATGGCACCCCGACGTTTGTTTTTTTTTTGTCAATGCACAGCCAACAGTCGGAAAACACGCGATGAAACAGGAGCGGCAAAGACCGACGAGTTAGAATTCACTTTGCGCCGACTGCGTTGCCTGCCCCTTTTTTCTCCCGCGCGAACCTCCCTTTCAAGCTGCACGTTTAATGCACCCTCGCCGCCGGAAGCGGTGTCCTCGCCGCGGACAAATAGTGGGACGGTATGCCGCAGGAACGGGGAGAAAAATTTCGTAATTAGATGAATTGTCGAGCACCCAGAGAGACGAACTTGCAACCTCCTTTCCATTGTTATCGAAATTCCTGGTGGGGTATCCTGTCGTTCCCGTGATTCGTCCGCGAGGAACGTTGCTTCGATGTTCGTCAACATGGAACAATCTCGCCCTGACCCAGTCTGGAATCAATATCCAACGCAAATAAGTACCGTGGATCGTTGAAAAACCTCGAGTTCACAGGGGGCAATCTTTCAGACTTTTCTGTGCCGTTTTCGCGATTAGTCTGGCGACCCATCGTATCGCAAGATTGAATTATAACAATCGTGGTGTCTACAGAGACTGCTCTATTATCGATTCTCGGCATTTATCTTCTTGTATGTACGGGGTGTCTCAGCTAACTTGATCACTTAACGTTACAGTTTGTGAAAATTTTGAGACGTAGAACTTAAATGGCATCAAAGGGGTATCTTATAGGGTATTTTAAATGTAATTACGTAGGTAATTGTTTTCTGGTAACGGAGCAAGTGACGTTACTTTATCTTTTTTTCAACAGACGGATCCATAAGAGTCGAGACCGTTTCCCGACGGGGTAAAAAGTGTCGCGCGAAAATTCAATTTTATTCGACCGCGTATTCGGAACAGCCGAGCGGAAGGCACACACCGTATCACGATCAACGTGTGAAAATTGGAGCACTCGAGCGTGTTACCGTCAGTTCCTCGGGAAAAAAAAACGATGGCACACAAAGCAAGCCCAGTTAGCTTGTCGCCTTAATAAGAAATCAGGAGCGGGGTCTCGGTTCGCTTAGAAATTCGATTACCGTGGGGGCGAATTTACCCCGGGTCGAGTCAGCCACGACCAGGATAAAGGGAATTTTCTCGCGCATAGTTTTACCCGCGTCTTATCCGACGAAAAAAAAAGAAACTTCCGAGTTATTTTATTATACCGTGGCTTCGACACTTGTTCAAGATTCTGTGTTTTATTTTTTCCTTTTTATATCGGCTTCCAATGTCGGCCAGGAATTTTCTATAAAACCGCTCTGATCGCTCGCGGCTGCAACCGCGCGACGATTCTCGGCGTTTCGAACTCGATATCGTCGAATCGAACGGAAACTCGCATACGTTCCAGGGGGAAAAACATAGCTAACTATCTCCTTCTCCCTCTCTATTTCGATCATAATTATCAGACGAATTATCGTTGACACGTTGAAGCTTAATCGAGCGAACGTTCGTCGCGCGCTGACCGGTTACGCATTCGGTTGGGACGCCGAACCGCATCGTGCCGTGCCGTTTCGTTATGTTTCGGGATCGATCGAGGGTGGCCGTGGTGTGTGGCAGTCATTGAATAAATTGTGGTCGCTAGCTCGGCACCGGTCGTTCGTCAACGCGACGCGGAACGCTTCGATACCAGCCGCTTTGCACGTCGGCCGATTTGTATGTAAATGCCGTCGATCGCCTCGCGGAAATAACTTGATCCGCAACTTGTAATTGCCTCGACGAAATCGCAACGGTGATAGGGGGTAGTTGCATTTTGCGGTTGTGCATATATGTGCCTAGTCAGCTGCAGGTAAGACGCGGTTAACAGTAGCGCCCTTTCGCGATTGAAAAGGGTACCGAAGGAACGGTCGAACGTCGTTCGAAATGTTGAGGACCACTTTGCAATCATTTTAATCATGACCCAAAGGCAAATGAAATTCCAAGCGTGGATGTACCCTCGCGAGCAAACTCGACTTCTGCTAGGGAGAATGTGACGTAAGGGCAGGTCCTCCTACCACTTGGTAAATTTATTTCAGCTATTGAGACAAATGTTAAATCGAATGTTAATTTCGCATAAATTTCAGTAATTTCCAATAGCAAGTGTTAGAAGGCCCTTTCCCTATGCCACTTACATCCTGTTCCGGGACTTTCTACCAACTTGCTTTACCATTTTACTGACAATTCCCTCGAAACTTGCACATAACTGGTTATCAGGGTAAATATGATGGACACTTAGCGAATATGCAGTAAAAAAAAGTCTGAAATAAATGCTTTTCATGGGATCTTAAAGCTCGACAAACAACATTTATTTATATACAGACCAACAAAAATCGCTCAAAATATATCCTTTTCATGGAACTGCACATTTTCTCCATACAGATCAAGTGACTTAATACTTATGAACGGCAGTGTATATGCTTGTCCATTCAAGGTTGCAAGGGACCAACAAATGGGGGGGCCGCTGGTCTCTTTGGTGCTTGTGGTTCTTTTCAAAACGCAGGCCAATTCTTGTCTCTCTCCGCCTCTCCCCTGGAGACCTCGCTTTTTACCGTTCCCCCTGCACGCGAATGGCCTTTTCGCTCGCTAGTGAATATCGCGGTTAACGCTGGACTCCCGCAACCTTCCGGTAACCCTAATTTCCTCCGTGCCCGAGCTTAACTTAATTATCCGCGCGGCCTGAAGTTCATTTGCTCCGAATAATCGGCCTCGACCGGTTTGTAATTCGATTTGGAAAAAGGGCGAAAGCACGCCACGGTTTCCCGTTCGTTCGGTCTTGATTGTCACGACCGTAGACATAGAAATACAGTGATGTCATCATGAGTGCGACATACTCGGGTCCATTTTGGAGCATTCGTGACAAGGAAAGTTTTTCAGGTCCTCATAAGTTTGGTTTTTCCTCGAAGCCGAGTTTTTACTTAGCTTCTGTTTACTCTGTTTATTACGCCGTTGCTCGTGTCGCACTCATCGAGGGATCACTGTATAAACTGCGCATCTCCTTGAAAGAGGCGTCCAAGTTTAGAAAGAGGTTGATATTTTCGATGTCTATGGTCGCGACAGACTCTTATCGACTATATTGCCGCGTAGCTCTCGAGACTGCTGCGTGAACCTGTCGGTCTACGCTGGAAACGAGGCCGACGCGGAAGACTTACTCGGTCGACAGGCACGCAAATCGAATCCCACCGCTTGTTTTGCATCGTGGATCGAATTAATCGGTCGCTTTGCCACCCTTCTCCAACCAACACGGCTTCTATTTCCAACCGGTGGAAAAACGGTCTCTCGATAATTCATGCGACCGATTTTCGTGTTCCTCCCATCCATCCCTCCCGTCGAATATCGATTTCGTCCCTATGATGCCGTCACGGTTTTATCCACTTTTATCTGGAAAATACACAAAATACCAGCACGGAAATTGAACAGAAAATACGACGTGGTTTTCCATCCTATAATAATACTCCGCGCCTTATTCGCATACGGGAAAATCATGTAACGAGAAATTCCACTCGCATCCACGAATTCTCAAAAGTTTCTCGTTTCACGCCCCCGGCTGAATAGGGACTACCCGCCGATTCACTTTTCCTCGACGAGATCCGACGAGCACGATGGATTCGACGACGACAGTAGAATGAAACTAGGAACGGATTTTTCGGGCATCGAGGCCACCATGTTTCCCGTATGGAAAAGCCTCGTACGACCGTGTCGTGACGCGGCAAGCAAAGAGTACCCAGAGAGAGAGAGAGAGATAGAGAGAGAGAGAGGTATAGATATCTATCTAGCGTGTGGCGTCGGATAGACGCCGGCGTTTCTCGTAGCCTTCCCGTGACGTCGACCCCGTGACCCGGTCACCACGTAACTGGAGCGTGAATTCACCAGAGCAAAGACTCTGTGAGAGGCGTAGGCGAGCCGCCGGCGTCGCGACGCCGAGGAAATGTCCTTTGGAGTGGCGGCGTGGCGAGGTAAGGCGAGCTTTTTTCGTTCCGTGACGAGGCTACTGATCGGTATTTGCATCGGCCCGTTCGCCACTCGACATCCCCCATCTCCTGACTATCCTCCTCGAAATTTCGTTTCGATGCTCTCGTGCGAATTTAGAACGCGTCTCCTGGCAACGAAATTTCGTTTTACTCTAGCGCGCGTATGTACACGCGTGACTGGGAAGAAAATTCTTAAAAAATTACGGGGATTTCTAAATGCTTTTGCACGTCGCTTTTTCGATTGTTTAATTGATAATAATTTCACGAGGTCTTCGTTCCTCTCATCGGGATCAACGTCAAATTCGGAGGGGGAAACATAGCCTCGTCGAATCCGGCGATCGTCTTTTCGAACAAATCGATCGGTTTGGTTTTCCCCGAACTTTTGGCTACCGCGATATTCCGCTATGCCTTGGAAATACATGGCCCTTTGACGCCATAATTAACGACCGAGGATTAATCGCTCTCTCTCTCTCTCTCTCTCTCTCTCTCTCTCTCTCTCTCTCTCTCTCTCTAATTAAAACGCATTACCTCGACGCGAGCTCCAGCGTTAATCCCTGCGTTTATCCCCGCGTTTCCGAGGTGTACGCTTTAATTACGCGGCCGTCGTCCGATCCACCGTGTAGATTTCCCATTATTAGTGTCTCGATATTGCGAAGAGCCTGGGCGACCGCGCCTCGACGCGATCGCGTCTAAATTGCAATCTTGCGCAGCAAACCACGACGCGACGACCGGCCCGGATGAACGATTTCCCGCATTTCTGCGACACCGATGAACACGAGATACCGTCGAGAGCACGATATTGCCCCGAGACGGGGGAACGACGTTATTTCGCCTGGAGACTCGAAACGTTACTCCCATCCCCTGTTGGTATTGATTCCCGGTTCGCCTCCGCAACTCTGCGGCGAATTCGATCGAGCCAGAAGCTCGAATTCTTCTAACTAATTTAGGGAATTTAAGGGAATCCGAGGGAATTATCCAACACACGCTGTGACATAGGCGTTGGCTGGATCGATAGCCATTGAAATTTTAACCCTTTACCAGGAAGGTGTCGACCCTACTCGATCGAGTGTCAATCAATGCAGCTTTCAAAGGCCAACAGTACTGCACGGACAAAGTAGTGTTTGGGAAACCGGTAATGGATGCTGTGTCGGTAGTGGTTTGCATTACGAGACCCATATCTGTGAACACATTCTGTGTTACAGTATCGAACTAGATATATCGTCCAGGGAGGATCAATATGTTATTCCAGCTGCTTTTGTTTAAGTTTTAATTTCTTTGCGTTCCATCCATCAATGCATTCAACGTATCACTGCACGCGTGTCGTTTTCACGTTTGCCTGGTTCGGTTGTCCCGCGATGATTCGATCGAACAAATAAAACACGAAATTGCGTGCGTTCGCGATAGTAATTACCAGGATTTTTTTTTAAGGGAAATAAATATTCCAACGTGAAACGAATCTCCGTTACGAATTTCGAACAGCCGTATGTCGATCGAATTAATTTTGACGTCCTAGGCGGAACGTTTCGATTTATTCCGCCGTTGGAAACCGTACGGGAACTTTTATTTACCAAAATTTGTTCGGCAAACCATCGGAGAAATAACCGGAAAAACAATGGTTGTGACGAGCACGGTTTGTACACGCGCTGCGCAAACACTGAACACGCTCGCTCGCTCACAAGTTTTCCCGACGTAATTGCGAATGCTCAGGCGTCGAGTGGATCGTCGACGCTCCCCCGTGAAAACCGTTTTCGAGGCGCAAACGTTTGAAACAAAAAAAAAACAAAATAATAACAGCGATATAAGCTCTCTCTCGTCGGAAGCGACGATTTGTCTCGAGCCTCGTCTCGTGAATGGCCATCCTCGAAGCCCCATATTTCAACCGTGCTCGTGGAAATTCAATTTCCAATCCCGGTGTACTTTGTAATCGAGGGGATAAGAAGACGCTGGAAGGGGGGATAAACGATTCGTCGAGCCATCCGGCGCACAGTGGTCTGAAAACGCGTTTTTACTGGCTAAAAGTCAAAATATTATTGAAACTTTCTAAAAGTTGGTAATCGAGGATTTGTGAGGTCACTGATAACGAATTCGAGTTTTTTTTATTACATATAAAACAAGTCTGATGCTTATCACTCTTAATTATTTTTTTCAAACCTTTTTCACAGTTTAAATTGCTATAAACTTTACACTGCTTGTACATGTAATGATAAATTGATTTCAAATACCGAAACGAATGTTAAACGGAATGTTAATTTAGCATAAATTTCAGTAACTCCGAAAAAAAGTGGTAGGAGTCTTTCCCCTTGCATCACTTTTTCCCCTAGCAGAGGCCAGAGTTGGGCACAATTTTTTATTCGTGAAAAACAGCAGTAAACAATTCTTTGCCAAGTGTCTACTTATTCGAGAAAAAGTATCGCATTATTGTAAAAATTAAAATTTTCACGATTATGCTATTAAAAATGGTGAAGTACCTTTTTTTTTTTTTTATCTTTCATTCGTTATTTTTTATCTACATAACGAATTTGCCCATCTCTGGCGGAGGCCGAGTTTGCTAGTGACCGTACGAACCAGCCTGGTGAAACTGTGCCGCGTTTCGGGAGCTGCTCGCCCCCCGGCGACGCGATCGAACGGAAATCCGATATGTACGTACGAAGGTGACGGTTCGTTTGCAGTCGGCCGGGATAATTGAAAGAATCGCGAGACTGGAAAAGTTGACGAACACGCGCGTCCGACCGACCGTGTGGTTCCAGGAATTTGCGTCTTTAGAGAACGCGTCTCCCGGTAATTGGGCTAATTGCGGATCGCTCACCGTTTCACCAGCGGTTCATAATAGCTGTCTGATTACTTCCAATTACTAGACGATGTGTACGAGAACTACTGAGACGAGAAACCTGAAAGAGCCTATCGTTTCTGAATGTTTATTTGATTTGTCGAGGGTACTCCATTCTTCCGTTTCACCGTTACGGTTTATTCTACACGATTATTGTCCGGGCATCACCACTGGTTGAGGGCGTGGAACATTTCAAACGTATACCGTGTTGCTCCTCCGTTTTTGTTGCGGCTCAGGCTTCGGGCAAAAAGCGAAGCATTTCTCCCTATAATATTATTGTCCTGAATCCGAGTTCAGGACAATAATCGAAAGAAGTCTGTACTTAGGAAAAATTGCACCAGATTCTCCCTATCAGATGGTCGGAATGAATTGGCCCAGCGGATGGTTAATTGCCTATGGAATTGTTCGTTGCAACCCGATAATTGCCGAGCGGGCCGCGAGATCGCGACGAGTTACAGGGGGAAGAGGGAACATCAGGGAATTATCTCACCCTTGAACTCGCTCGCCTCCTTCCATCTTCTCGACAGAGTGAGAAAGATATGTTCTTTTTCATTTCTTTATCGTTTCCCTCGTTCGGCTTCGTGTCTGGATTCGTAACGTTGTTATCGCTTCCGAAGTTACACGATATCGACAGGAAAATCCGTGGCCTCGTTCCGCGATCGTGGAATAATTTTCCGCGTATTCGCCGGGAAATTCGCAGTTCGCGTTTGCTATCGTCGTCCGATCAATCGATTTTTATCTTTTATCGTTAAGGATATTACTAATCGCCTGTTTCTACGTTTGTTCACAGAGCTCGAGTGAAGTCAGGCGTGAAGATCTTGGACGCCTCGCCGAGCAATTCCGACTGGACGGTCGAGACCGACATAAACGCGAAGAATACAGTCGCGACGTTCATCGCGAGGCGAAAGGAGACTGCCTCGCGGCTACCAAGCGCGTAAGTACGTCACGGTTTTGTGAAGGGACATTTTGCGTTATCTACCAGTGAAACGGTACCCTTTATCCTCTGAGCCGTGGTTACGAGGAGCCGTACTATTCCGCAGGAGGAGACAAACCGGGGAAAGAAAGCATCAGGAACGGGTATCACATACTCTGAGTTTATTGCGTCAATCTTTGAAAAGAAAAATAGAGCGAAAGTACATAATACCACGTGTGTTTGCTACACGCAGAGTCGACGCGATCCGTAGGAATAAATGTTTACAAAAGATGTATCGACGTCTGACGCGTGCCTCTGTGCACCCATAGCTGTCGATACGTCACGAATCGGAGCTTGACAAAATTCACGTTATCGTCGCGAGGAACGTATTTTAAACGGACGCTTACAATGCTCCAGTTTCTCTATCTGTCTCTAGTTAACCGCGAAAAACGACTACTCAGCCTGCTGACTGGACGAATCACTTTTCGGTTCTTTGTCCTGTTGATCGTCTACGAACGGCTGTTCCCGCGGCTTTCGGTTTTTCTCCTCCGACGAGGAATCGCTAGATGGATCCTTGTCTTGTTCCTCGATGTCCCGTTTCCTACGGTAACTGGGAATCTTGAAAATCTTGAGTTGCCTCTTGTCATCGTCGTCATCGTCGTCGCTGTCGTCATCGTCGCACTTGTTCTATCTCTTGCACTTCTTCTTATCTTCGTCGCTGTCGTCATCATTCTTGCACTTGCTTTTCTTCTTTTTGCCACACTTCTTGTCATCGTCGTCGTCGTCGTCGTCACTATCGTCGCTGTCGTCTCTATTTCCATTTCTCTGGCATTTGCTAGATTTCTTTTTGTCATCGTCGTCGTCGTCGTCGTCGCTGTCGTCGTTGTCGTGGCAATTCTTCCTCTTACACTTTCGTTTTCCGTGATCGTCATCGTCATCATCGCTGGATGAGCTGCTGCTGCTGCTGCTACTACTACTGCTACTACTGCTACTGCTGCTGTCGTCGTCGTCGTTCTCCTTCTTCTTTTTAGTCGAACGTTCCAGTCTCTTGTGAATCGCTTCCGCCTCTTCGATCAACGTCTCGACCTCGTCCCTCTTGGCCTTTCCTTTCTCGTTTGCGGCTTTCTCCTCGCTGCTTCTGCTGCTGGCCGACTCCTCGCTCGAGGAATCGGTGGTTGGCTTCGCCAGGGCCACATGGTTCGCCTCCACTTCCGGTGCGTTCACTTCGTCCGGCAGCTTCGACTCCTCCTCGACGTTAAACCCGGATAACGGGTGAGCCTCCACGAGAATCACCGTGGCCACCACGGCGGTAAGTGCGATTATTAGCGCGCTGGCACGCATGTCGTCCGCCTGATGGTAAGTTTGCCACGATTTCCCGATACCCAAATCGTCGGCCAAGTCCCTCCGCGGTCTTATATAGCGCGGTTGTGTCCGATAAAACCGCGATGGATAAGAGAACCGACGTATCGGAGCAGTGGTACTCACGGGGAACTGCGGACGTTGATGGATCGGTGGCGCCAGAGATTAACTCCGTTGATAGTTTATAGGAACGAATACATTTCGCCGGCAAGATCTCCTTTAATGTTGTTCGATATACAGAGAGTCCCGAAAGAATCTTCGACTTCCGGAAATGAGGGGTTCCTCGGATGATTTGAAATAACTTTTTACTTAACAAAAATTGTTTCTAATTATCCCAGGAACCTCTCATTACCGGTAGTCATAGCGAAATATCGGGTTCTTTATATCCTGAATCTCGGAACGATTTACCGTGATTTCGATCCTAACGGAATAAGAGCGAATGCTGCTTCGGCCGTTGAAACGAAATAGTAATGGAGAAATTGATTTTGTTTCTAGTATCCCAATATACCGCGACTTCGTCGTAGGAAAGCAATTCACCGACTGCGACATAATCCACGATACGATCCTCTCGCTTTCGGAACCGAAAGAGATTCCAAAAGCTGTTCGGGGCAAACTGCTACGGAGACGTAAGAGGCTCACGGGGGGGTATGCAAACGACACACCGTAAACGAACGCCAGAAAAGCCGGCGGTCGTACGGGCGAGAATTGGAAGGAGATTTTATCGGGTCGCCCCGCGGAAACGTGTGTTCGTTTCAGAGGTCCGCGCGGGGAAAAAGTAAAAGTAGTGAGTATCACTGTACACCGGGCAGTCGTTATCGCCGCTAACCCTGCGATGCTCCGGTTTGATTTCTTCTCTAGTTTATCCGTTCTCTTTCCACGAACCGCGCGAAATCGGCGTAATTTATTGTCGTGGTATTTTGGATCATCGATCGCGACCAAATACGCAACATCGAGACCTATTGCTCCCGATAAACGTATGTTCCCGAGATCTCGCTATCGTTTCCCCCAATTCGACCTCTCTTCGTCTATCGATTCGTATAGAAGCGAACAGCCTTAGTGAATTGATAGAAAATTTATTATTCTCCGGTCGACGCTGCGAAATTGATATTACACGTCAAGCTTCTTCGAAGAATATTGGAACGAATAACAGTACCGAATGCTTCGTTGAAAGCTTAAATCGCGAACGTTTCGAAGAATTACGGTTCTGCTGCTAATTTTATTCCGGCATTCTTTCGCTTCTATTTCCCTTCGATCTCGTTCCATTTTAGTCCCGTCGGTCTAGCAATGCCGGTATTGCCCTCGTCCCGTTTAATTCAGATTCCTTTTCTCGAGGAACGACGAACGAATTCCCTGTTTAATTTCGTTCACGGTTTCTCGGCTCTGTCTGCCTCTTTCTCTCCCTCGAATCCGCGATTTTATCTCGATCGGCGTGGAACGGTCCCGTTCTGTAAACGGGAGAACATACATATATGTATACTCGGGGAATTATGTCTATCCGCGTTCTTTCGAGCCCACGTCTTCGAATTTTCCATCGGGCACACGGGCGTTAGATTTCTCGTCGAGATTTCGCGATCCTTGAACTACCAAGAAAGGCCAGACCCCTCTGCGTGTTCCTCTCTACCCTTCAATTTCGTCGAAGCTGTCTGCGAGAACACGATCGCTCCGACTCGTAAATCCACCGTTAATAACCGTCCCGTTCTGTCGAGAAGATCCTCTCGTTCACGCCCATCCGTCGCGGACCTAGCCTAACGACCAAACCGACGGGCACTCGTCCTTGTTGCGTTCCACGTAACACCGGCTCTCTCGTAGACGAAAGTTACGTAACACCACAGTCATTTGTAAACTACAAACAACCGCGTCGTCTCGGGGTAACTGTTGAAATTCTCTCGTCAGCCGCGTCCCAAGTTCGGCAAACACTCGACACGACAACGTTTTAGTGTCTGTACTTCGAGTTCGTCGCCTTTCCCCCGACTATTTAAGCGGATCAACTGGATCGTTTCCTCCCTCTCACGAATTAGATTTTTCCCCCCGTTGTATCTCCAATTACCTTAAGTTCCCGCGTCTCGGGTTTCGACGCAATTTATCGTCCCATCTATCAGTCGCATCCGATACTGTCCTCCTATCAATGGGAATCGTCGAATTGCTCGGAGTTGGCTCGCACAGAAAACTTGGAGCACGACGTCTCGTATCGTGACAAGAATACACAGAGTGTCCCAAAATAACTTGGACTCCTGGAAATAAGGGGTTCCTGGGATGATTTGAAATAACTTTTTCCTTGGCAAAAATATTATCCGAGGCTTCGTTAACGAGATATTAACGAAAAACCCAGACCGATCAGAGCCCGATTGGTCGGGCTTTTTCGTTGGTATCTGATTAACAAAGCCTCGAATCAAATTTTTCCTAAGGAAAACGTTGTTTCAAATCATTCCTGGGAGTCGAAGCTATTTTGGGAGACTCTGTAGATACGATCGGATGCGTTTTGGTTCCCTAAGAACTAACTCTAGTCATTTGCCAGTGTGTCCGAGGGGTCGGAACGTCGATTCGTGAGGGAGAGAATGGTCCAGGGTAGTCGACCGCTGAGATCGTTGTTTCCTTGTTCGTTTCCAGATCAGCGGAGGAAATCCTGACGATGCTTTTGGAAGCCAGCGAGGAAGGGGTGGACGGAAACTGGGACGGCGGCCGTATCGTGTGGAGCGTGCGTTACACGTTCGAGGGCGAGGAAGACAACGCGTCTCAGTTGAACGGGATGGATCAGCTGCAGCAAAGATTGCAGCAGAGACAGATGCAGCACCATCATCATCAACACGCCGAAAGACGGAAGCTGCAGGCGCGTCTTGAGATTCAGAAGGATGACATCCAGGCTGTTCTGCCTATTTCCAAGGTAAGAGTGCTTGGAACACGAAGACAAACGAAGGAGATATCAGGAACAACAGTTTTCTTATATATTTCTCCAACAATATCAACACCATCCTTGTTCGTTGAATATCGTATCGTGACACTATTCTTGCAACCGGTACCAGAGGAAATGTGTCGATAAACCTATTCGAAAAACAGCTCTCAACGGTTTCCAGTTTTACGTTCCCGATTCGATACACGACAGACGCGAGTGGTTTCGGGAAAGGTGGCGATAAGAGGGTGGCCCGGCGTAATTCCGAATCGTTGTTCGAGGATCGTGTCGTGGATACGTGCCGAGCGATTTTCATTCCCGCCAACTGTGCCCCGAACGTGCAGAATTCCGCGACAGGGTCGCGACCCGCTGGAGAATAGAAGAATCCACCAGACCCGAGGGAAGGACGAGACGGGAAGCAGCACCGAAACGCGGAACCAATATCGCTACTCGGCGAACCGGCACGATTTTCAGGCCACCCTCTCTTGGCCCCTCCGATCCGTTCTCCTGCGCCCGCGCCCTCCTCGAAATCTCTTGAAAAAGAATCCGCTAAGTTGCACGATAACCGCCGGCAAAAGTGCACCCCCTCCCTCCTCGATCGATACCGACCGAGAGTAGGTATTGTACGTGGCGTACAGCCGCGCGCGACGATCCGCTTCCACGCGGGTTGCTCGATCAACGATCGCTCGTACTTTTTACCATAGGAATACCTCGGTCCGTGGGAAAAAGTGCTGCTTTCATAACGTCAAAGGATACAGTTTTTCTCCCGTTGACAAAGGAAACGATGCGGTAGATCATATTCTTGAGCTTTTCTAGCCGCTGCCATGCGTTCGTCGAACTTCCATTAGAATTTCTGGTAAAGTTGATGGGCACGATATCGTGTCCTTGTAGAATCATTAATTTGAGACTCTTGAGGCTCTTTAGAGCCGTGCAATGTCAATTCGGAACAGGCTGCCTGCAGTTTAATTTTTAATAATATATTAATTACTATTGGGTAGGAGGCGGCAGAGAATAAATATCGTGTACTTTCGATGAAATATTGTAAGCGGACGTTTTAAATATCAGTTCGTAAATGACGTTTACAGTCTGAGATTCAGACCGCTTCTAAGTATGTTAGCCACTTGCTATCCCGTGCACTCAGGGCGCGTGCAGCCCTTGGTGCGGTTACATATTAATAGGCGACCCTAATAATCGCTTAATTTTCCGAGGACACACTAGAGTGCCCAACGAGACTTTACCTGCAAAGTATCGCGATTTAGCCACGCAACGTATCTACGCGTACATACAATTATTCGGAACGTAGTGTATTAAAGGTTCTGCTATTGAAACTGGGGAAATTCTGTATTCCGGGGAGTATGAATCACTAAACTATTTACCCGACGCCTTACAAATGCTAGAGAATGCAAATGTTTTCCATTGTAAGAGGAGCCATTAAGTCGCATTAAGTTAACGCCACCGTCTCGCCTAGATAAAGGCTGTTCTCGGTGGTGCATTTTTTATCGTTTGGTCCTCGTAGCGATAACGAAATTCGGAGAAATTTATTCGTCGTACGGAGGAACAAGAAACGGTTTGACCAGGATTTCGCGTAAGCTTAGCGCAACAGTTAATTAATTCCGTTCTTAGTTCTCCAAGTCTTATCGATTCTTCCTCGGAATCCGAAACCCTCGGTCAGTCGAGTCGCGAGAAAGCTGTGTGTATGTGTACACGATCGCAGAAACAGTCCCGAGATCCTCGCGATTAATTAATCACTTAATTAATTCGCGCTTACTTATTCGTTCGAAAGCATCATTCCAGCAGCGACGTCGCCGGATGCTTCTTGATCATCCTCCGTCTAATTGCCCGCTTCTCCGCTAGCAACTTGTGAGGGAGGTGGGAGTTTTTAATTAAAAGGGAGGCGTCCTGCTTTCCTCGTAAACCTCTCGTCCAGCTTAGCGTCAACATCGACACCCAAACGCGCGTTGGTAACCAAACCGACTGGAGCTTCCGAGCGTTTAATCAGCACGAAGAAAATAATTTCGGCAGCGGTGGCTGCCGCGGGTATAAATACCTAACCAGTCCGGGGCCGGAAGGATAAGAAACTGGCCAGGGAATTCCACTTGGACCGGAACCCTTTGACGGGGCCACCAGGTCCCGATAATGCATAGCTAAATCTTGTTGAAACTGCGGACCGTACCTGGCTAAGTGGATCAGAGATTTCTCGATAAACTTCGCTAGTTCGAAGAGCCGTCGAACTAGTCGACCTCGTGTGTATGCTATGTACTATAGTTTCTGTAGACCTTCCTTCGAACTTGGATTCCCCGTGGCCGGGCAGCTGCGTTCCATTTTGTGGTTTGTTTTATCCTGGCTATAGCTTTGTACAGACGTATACGTACGTACAGTGTGACTGAAATTTATGCCAAATTAACATTTGGCTTAACATTTATTTCAGTATTTGAAATTAATTTATCAAGCGCTTGGAGGCCTTTTCATTAGAACACTTTTTTCCCCTAGTGGAATCAGAGTTTGCTCGTGAGGGTACTTACGCCCAGATAACATATAATGCCTCGACGACGTCCATTTTACGGCTATTTTAGGTCTAAGGCGTTTTTAAGCCTTCTTCAAGGCGTCGTGTGCTATCTGGACGTGAAAACACGAAAAAGAACATTACGGGGGATGGTCCGTTCGTGGTTTGTTTTGACGACACCGATGATTGCGCCATCGAATGAAATATCTAGGCCTCGACGAGTCGTTCGAATCTATATCGGAAGAAACGAGCTATTCATAGACGTGATTCTAGTCTTCGAGTTCTAGATCATCTGGCCATAAAGTCGCCGGAAAACGAGTTCGCTTCGGTCGACGGATTCCCCGAGTTCCGAAGTTTCAGTCCGGAGAATATGAAATCGCCCAGGGGGAGGATATGTATTTGATCCGGCGTCGTGGAAAAAGCGAGGCGCGAACTACTCGAATGTGCTCTCGACGGCACCTTTTTCGCGGTGTTAAGGAACGTCGAGGGATCTTGGAGAGGGGGGTGGGGACTCATCGATGCCAGGCCAAGAGGCTGTGAGGCTGTGATGTACGGTGGGCCATCTACACGTACAAAGCGGAGACGATGGAAGCAAGTGTGGGTGGATGGATAGATAGATAAAGTGAGAAAGAGAGGGAGGGTGGGAGAGCGACTCTCGGGGGGTCAGAGATTTAAATTTCCTCGCTGCAATATCCGAGTCGTTTGATGTTCCTTCCAAAGGGCAGACTGTACGGAAGCCAACTTGGAAATGGCTTCGTGCACCGGACTCTCTCGACCTCCTCCCTCGTCCAGCCGTCCCCTTTTCCGCCGGCTGCTCGCTGCAAAGTACACACACACACACACAGTTCTATACCTACAAGGACCGGACGGACGAGCTCGAAGCGTAGAATAACTTCCATACCCGGTGTGTATGTGTGCCTGTGTATTTATGTGCGCGCGAGCGCGGATCTGTATACACACAGGAACCTATGAAACGGGCCGACGATTCCAGGCGAGCCCACGGACGGCCCTTTAAAACCCACCTCCTCGACCCCGAGTCCGCGGCTATTCGCGAAACTTTTCCGACAACGTGCCCCCGGGAGCAAACAAAAACGGCAAACGAAACGATCGGCGCCTCTGAATCGAGCCGAGGACCTCTCCTAAACGGAGTTGGAACGGCTTAACGAGCCCCGCGACAAAGGGTCGGCCCTCGCTTTAATCGAATTCGTTGTGTTTCCCGACGCAGAACTGGGAGGTGATGAACACCGCGGTGCTGACAGGCCGACAAGTGTCCCAGGGAATGAAGGTGTTCATCGTCAGCCAGGCGGGAACCGTCGCGGACGTCACGCTGCAATCTTCCTGTCATTCCGAGGACGAGAGTGTGCTCAAGGTACGCGGGTCCCGGGACTTCTTCCAGGTTTCACATCCGTTAAATGTAAAAGCGAACGTTTTAAGCCGGATTCTCACACTTATCAATCAGGCTGGGGCAAAAATATCGACACATCGACTGCCACAGTGAAAAAGGCTGTATGTAACCAGACACGCTTTATTTTATATTTAAAGTCATAAATCGTTGAAATTTTGCGCGTTACGTTAATAGAGGCTGTTGGTCGTGTTTCAAATTATACTACAATATTAAATATTACGCAAAAATTTTGTAACTGTGGGAAGGGAGCGGGGACAAAATTCAATTTTTTATTCTTGTAGGGTGGGACAAAAGCCACTTTTTTTTCCATCGCTGCCCATAGTTTAAATTCAGATTATACCTTTAACAAGTAGTGTGAATCTGGCTTTACCGTACACGTTTGATCGCCGAACGCGAGGATTCCCAAGTATCGTCTACGCTGTGTTTTTGTAACAAAGCTGATCTCGTTGCGTCAGGTATCATCCTCCTGTAGCAGCGTGTACGTGGACGGCACGGAAATTCGTGGATCCAGTAACGCTTCTGTTCTGGTCAAATACGGCACCTACACCGGCCTGGCCAAGTTCACAGTTTGGATGCCCGAGTTTCCCCTGGAAGTGACCGTCGGTGACACCAGATTGAGTCAGATCAAAGGCTGGAAGGTGCCCGAAGAACACGTTGCAAGCGCCAAGAGTAAACGCAGCTTGAACGGAACCGGTTCGCGAATCAACGAATCTGCCGCGAAGACAAAGAAGAGGAGTGCCGCGGACTTGGATGATTCGGTGGACGACACTTCCATGGACGTCGAGGAAGCCGACGTGATACTCGAGGAGGATGACCAAGAGGAAAGATTCAGGGGCAACGATCACAGTTGGGACACGATTAATTCCATAGAAAGGGGGCCGTCGACGATGTGCAGACTACGTTTCCAGCAGAGTCCGGTCGAGATTCACGCAAAATTCTTGGCTACCGGTCACGATTCCGGCCGAGACTCGTACTTTGTGAACCGTAGAACTTGGCTACGCGTCACGGACCTGGTGATGGGTATGCTCCGAGTCTCGGATCCGAGAATAGCCACCCTCTTGCAAGGGAGGATCGTTCAAGGTCGCGGAGTAGGTAGAACGGAGGTGCAGGTACTCTCGCCTATTACTGGAAGAGTGATCGGAGCGAAAGAAGTAAGGGTTGGAAACGATCGGGTGGCGGTTACCAGGTTGTCCGTCAAGGTCGTGTCGGGCCTGCAGCTGACCATCAGTCCGGATTCTGCTATAGAAAATGGATATATCGCCGAGACCTCGGTGACCAGGCGACTGACTGCTAAATATCAGGTGAATTAATTGTTCACGATAAACTGATGATTTCTCGCGGTATAAAGACTTTACTGACCGAATGACACGTTTCGATTCATCAGGAGGGCTTGTTGGACATTGACGTCGAATTCTCAGACGGGACGAGGACACCGCTGAGGGAGATTGCTGTGACCGATTATCATTTAATGGTGGAGAGCTTGGACCCAGAGGTGGTCGCTTTCGCGCCTATGGTCGCTTCCCATCATCCTCGAGTGATCGCGGTAGGCGAGGGTCGGGGGGATTTGTTACGAGTCAATCTCCAGTTGGCGGACGCTTGTCGTCTGGGCGGCAGGAGGTCCGGTAAAGGATCTCAAAGGACGACGTCGTCGGCTCTGGCCAGCGCTTCGGCCAACGTCGAGGTGGACTTTGCTTCGAGCGAACTACCAAATCGGCCTGAGTTTGTGCAGAACGACGGAGGCGGAACGGTCGGCTCCCACCATCACAGGGAAAGGAAAACCAGCAGGGGGGAGATGGCGCCAGACATGCGAGACATTCTGATCGGTAAATAGACCCCATTCCCGCCTGCCGCATTGATCTTTCGCTTTCCAGAATGCTTCTCTGTGTTTATCCCTTACCGGCACTTATATTCGCGTTCTTTGTCATGGCTTCGGTCAATGTTCTTGACTTCCCGACCGCAGTTGTTCCCCGAACACATCGTGCGAGGGACGTTTCCTCTTGCGCTTCTCGTCACCGCCCTTTTCCTTCTATTATCGGTTGCTGCATCGCTTGTTGTCAGCATTTTTTCTTCCTGCTTGTCCCGAGATTGTTCGTTAGTACTTTTTCAAACCGATGGATAGAGGAACAGTGTTGTATCTGTGAACCCTCTATGGATCAAGGGTCGATGTTACCCTTGCATGGTTGTTCGTCTCGCTTTCTGCAGGCAGCTCACGCGGGGGAGGATAGTAGCTTCGGGAGCTCTCACGTTCTATTCACCCGACCGTTTCTCACTCTTCTCCTCTCTCTTTCTGTCTCTTTGTTTTCTGTGCAAAGGGCTACCGCTGAAAGACGAGAACGGGCACGAGCCTTCGGTGCAGGCACGGCAGCACCGCACGGCTATAGCTAATGGCATGTCTTCAGGAGGAATGGGCGGCGTCGGTATACGACACCACGGAGGAGCGAGCATGAGCCCACTCGAGATCGGGATGTACGTCCTCCTGGCGGCCTTCTGTTTCGCTATTGTTGTCTTCGTCGTCTCCTGCGTGGTCTACGCCAGCAAGTTCAAGCCTCAGCCGCCGGATTCTCCGCTAGCAGGAGCCGCGCTTCCGGTCCTCTCTGGAGCAGCGCGGGCCAGGGCCGCAGCGAATCAGCTGGCATCGGGAAGACGACCACCAAGAGAATCCACGACAAACGCCCACGATTGGGTATGGCTGGGACGAGCCACCCTTGAGAGAGCTGCTTGTGGACCCCAACAGGTGGGATAATTGTTTAGATGAAAACACAACGGCAAACTTGCGTACCGAGTTACAAGGTACTTCTTTACGTAGGTACGCGTAACCAGTAATCCTCTCGCCAATGAAACCGATGGAGATACCAGCGAGGCGGCCACTTGCTTCGATAATCCCAATCACATCGAGCTGCCATCTACTGGACAACGCAACAACAGTTCCGGACCCATCGATACAAGCACCTATTGCAAGAGGGACAAGCTTCCGAGGAACAGTTTCGTTTCTAAATCGGCGGCGAAAGCATCGGTCGCTGTAACAACGACTACAGTGACCACTCCAGCCTCTATGGCAACGTCCACCGTTACCACATCGCGAAACGAGTAAGTTCCCTTCGAGTCGCAGTCCAGCTGAACCCTTTCAAAACGTTCCTGTCGCTTTCTAATATCATCGTTACGATCGCAGTAACGACGATATTCCACCACCCCTACCGCCGCACGGGGTGCCAGTTTCAACAGGCGCGAATACAACAGCGGCTACGATCGCCACCTCCACGAACAACAACGGGAACGAGGACTACAAACCACCAGTCCCGCCGCACAGGAATACGGGGGTGATCGTGCGGTTGCCGGAAACACCGAGGAAACATCGTCACAGGGCGTCGAGCGGCAGCGCGCCTGGCAGTCATCACGGGAATAAACAGCGGCATAGTAAGCAGATCCATCATATCAAGCCATCACACGGTAAAGCTAGAGTAGGTAGTCCAAAAGAGAACGGCGCGGAGGAGGAGGAGTTCGTCGAACTAGTGACTCACGATGACAACAGGCACTCGAAGGACGCGAGAGCCAGAGAGGTGAAGAGGGCGACGATAGTTGGTAATCCAATGTTCTCGTCGTTCTCGACCACAGCAGTCGCCTCATCGATGAACGTGTCCAGCCCGACGGTGGCCTCATCGTCCTCGTCGCCACCTAACTCGTCGCCGTCCTCCTCATCGGCCGCCTCGTCCTCTTCCTCCTCCTCCTCCTCTTCCTCCACCTCCCCCTCCTCGTCCGTTTCCTCGTCCCAGGAGCAGGAAGAGCCGGTGGCGTTGGACGACCTGAACCTGGGCATGGACTACAATCAAATCATGCAGTACTTCGACAACCTGAAGGAGTCGAATGCCTAGGTGAAGGCGTTCGGCCTTCAAGAAGGCCGAGAGTAGTCAACGTCTATACGAAACGCCGGGGACATTCTCGTTGAGAAAGGCGGACGAGCTCGAGCCCCATTCTCCGCTTCCATTCTATCGCCATTAGCACGTTCGCATCGAAATGGTCGAGCTCGCCCCCTCCTACCATCCGGTCGTTTCGTATTCTAGGCTATAATCTAGTCAGCTTCCTAGCAGCACATCAAGAGTATCGCGCAAACACATCGACACACAGTTACACGCGTTCTCTCGTATAGGTGTAATCAGTGGAAGACACAGAGCGAACTACACCGAAACGACCACAAGCGAAAACGGGGCGCGCTTCGGTACTCAGACGTTCTCAAATCTCAGGGTTGCATTCGGTATACCTTTTGTACGCTAGAATAGTAATCGCCTGAGAGAAGAAAGAAATTTAATTGCAATTCTGTAATAAGAATGGCGAACTTGAATTTCGAGGCATACGATGTTTCTTTAAGTGTTCGCTGTGTAGCTTCCATCGATCGTACACGCAAACACATACTCGCAGAGGCTTTAAAAGATGTGATCGTCGGTGGCCGGTGGGGTAGGTAGATCGTGCGAGCGATTCGACCAGGTTTCTCCTTATTTTCTCCGCGGATCGATCGACCGGCGATCCTCGCTTCCGCCTCCGTGCACTATCGATCTCTCGCTCAAGCCCACGGCTCGCGACAACCGGAGGAACCCTCCCGTTTCCGCGGCCCGTGACGGGGCATTCACCAAAAAATGGCCGAACAAAAACCAAGCCTTTTGTCTCGAGATCGATCTCGGGGCTTCAACAGTTCCATCGAAGTAGCGGCTGCGTGTTTTACTTTTTTATGTCCGTTGTCCTACGAAGGTTTCGTGTCCATTCATCTATTCACCGTGAACGTTCCTAAGTGGTATAAACCTCTTCAATTTTTTATCAACATGTTCCAGCGTATCTTTATTTATTTTTAAACTAATGCACGCCAAGTCTTCCTAACATTAACCTGATAAGTCATCGCTGAGACCGATCCCGCGACGAACGAACAGCCCGTCGGCCATTTTCAGTCCGATCTGCGCCGGACGAGACCTATAATATTTATTCGATCGACAGTACGTCGTAATATTTGTAAATTTTCATTTGTAAGACTGTGTATATTTATATATATGTATACATATATATATATATATACACATATACCACGACCTAGCGCATGTTAATTATGGAACTCGAACGGATTCAACGGTTAATGAATCTGCTACGACAGGCTGTAAAGCAAACCACCGCGCGCAATTATCGCAAATATTCTCGACAGAAGTGAGCGGAACCGCGAACGCGGGCCGGATGCAACTTTTTACTGCCGTTCTCGATTATCAAATCGGTTTCATTCGACCCGGTATATATTCCGGTATATATATATTCCATATTTTCTCTGTACAACGAACGTAAATTCTCTTTTGCAAAGAAACATCACCAAGAGCAGGTACTCTGTATTTCTGAGGTAGATGTGATGAGATAAAGAATTCCATTTCACAGTATATGTTCTACTCGTAGATCTTCGGCATTTTATACGAATCAGCCTGATGTACCATTCAAATGCAACTATTTCACGACATCGTTCTTGGTCGAGGATGGTCAATTATCGTCATAAATTTTGTCGGTATTCCATGCAAATGGAGAAAGAGAACAGACTGGAAAAAATCACGAGAATGTATAGCTAGAAATTGAAAGATTGGTCAGCAGTAAATTGGAGGGGAGGGGGAACGCTAGTCCCTAGCTTACGGCGGCCCGAGACGCTATCGCTTTTAATTACGGCTCATTCAAGGTCCATCCACGGTCGAAGACCGTGCCGCCGATCTACGCGATAGTATCGGGGCACGCCGCTACCTGCGAGCGTGAATGTAAACAAGAGTGAATTGTGTCCGTGCCACTGTTAGTCCCGCATCGTAGAGACGCGTCCACGTCCGTGTGTTGTACACCCATAATATCAAGAGACTGAGTTCCACGCGCATATATGTCTGACAGAACGAAAGTAAGTACGCGCACATCCCTGGCAGCGTTCGTTCTTCCGCGGCCAGTTCGATATTTCCCGTTGGGAATCCAATCGCGCAACGTCTCACCGTTACACGTGATCAGCCAGCAGGAGTGCAAGAGATCTATGGATCCGCGAACTCGCCCTATCTTACATAGCCATCTAAGGACTACGTGTCTAAGCTAAGTATGTATGTATCTGTTAGTTGTGTGTTGGCACGTCAAGCATGGGACAGTTGCGATACGTAAATGTTGACGAGCGCAGAGCCAACATGGACGCTCGAGCGTCGAGAGTCGTGCACGTTAACCCCTTGCGGTCCTACGTCTTGGATTCTATTTATTTCGGTCGTACCCGGTTTCGCTGAATGCTTGGATTTTTTACGTTTACCCGCGAGATCGTTTGACCCACCAGTCAAATTGCTGTATCGTCGTTTTTCACGTGTAAGTTGTTTATTTAATTTCAATCGTTCGTTACGGAACACGCTCGAGGCTCGGAGAACATTGAAACGTCAATAGGATATTTCGATGGATATTAGGATTATAAGGCTTCGTGTAGCTTTAAGGTGCTTTGGATCACTCTGTTGCGTGTCTATATACTTGTAAATATCGCGCGGAGAGATGACTCTCGAGTTCCAATTTATCATTTCGGTCGCGGCGATCGACTGCGACGGGTTAAAGAGTGCCGGAAACGACGTAAGATATACACCCCGCCGAGAAATCTAGTCTTATAGCGTAAACGAAATGCGTTATTATTAAAAGAAAATGGGAAAAAGCCGACGAATGCAACGTGCGATTTACGTTGCCTTTTCGGCTGAGATACACGTATCCTCGAATCAGCAGGCGGGGCCAACAAAAAAAAATAACACACACACGCATTGTCGACCATCGCTCCGCCCGCGGCCATCCTTTCCTCTTCGTCGTGGGGAGCGGAAGGGGGACTGTCCTCGTCAGTGAGATGCCGGAACGTCTGACGAATTAATCATATCGAGTACCGTGAGTGAGACACGCGCTAATCATAATTAATCGTACGCCGGGGAGCCTCGTCCCCGAATATCGGTGGCGTGTGTTCAGCTTCGTTTCTTCCTCGGAACGGATCGATCCATGGAGACGATTCGCGACCACCAAACATAACACGAGAGACGAGGTCCCGCGCAGGGCCGGGCTAGAATAGTATTTACGATAGAAAATAGTGGAGCGCTTGAGTAGCCGTTACACGCAGACATTTATCGCGCGTCATGTTTCTTGGACAGAAAATTGAGAAAGACGATGGTCCAGACTTCACGAGTTAATTAATCGACCCGGATAGACAAAAGTATTTTTGTTGTTACACGTGGAATAGAGGAAACGAAAAAAGAATCAGCCGGATGAGATCGTCTTGTACGAGTAGTAACGTTCGAGAAGCATGACGTCAAAGGAGTACTAATTGCTGTTCGAATGAATGTTCGCTTGTCGCGTTATCAAACAGAAAGAGGAATAAAACCGCTCCGATATCACCGTGTCACACTATCGACATACAAAAGTGGCGAACGTGTTAACAGTTACTATTTTTTACTTAGAATACTATTTCCTCCAGCTCTGGCCCACTTGTATATATACATACATAATATCTGCGCGTTTTTCTTCTTTTCAATACTCGCGGAACTGAGTTAAAAATACTGTTGAATCGCCGGGCAACGTTCACCGATCCGCTTTTGTCCGTAGGTTGTCAGCTCGCTCGATCATTTCCCGCCCATGATTTCGCCATTAGAAGTTCGCGAATCGTTTTTCGAGTAAACTTCTACGCTCGGTGGCGTCGCCGACGTTCATTCGCAATCACGATCGTGGAAAAACGATGCAAACTCGCTACGCCGAATTTTCTACACACGATTTACACTCGAGGTGTTTAGTCGATCGTTCGTGTTCTCGAGGTAAAGACGCGTTCGCGACAGCGGCGCGCGCCCCGAAGTCGAAACTACTGCCAGTCTCTCTTTTCTCTCGTTTTGTTTTTTATTTTTGATAAGTTCCCACCGATCGGGGAGGATGATTACATTATACATATATAAATATATACATATATATATATATATATTGTAATAGAATATATCGCGTCGCAATGCTGATTTTGCATTCACACACATTCCTCGGACACACGATGTCGTCGCTGTATATCTACGTTTAAGTGTGATAAATGCGGAACTATGATAGATGGGAGGATCGACGACAACGGCGACGGCGACGACGAAGACGTCAGAAACGACGGGTACGGTGATTACGACGATATTTGCGAACCCCGATATCTCTTAATAATCACGAACAATCTGCGCGTACATTTCGTCGCTGACGCAACAGCAGACTCCATGCAAAGCGATAAGAGCTGTTTTAACGTTATTACAGCTGGTGTCACTCGTTTTCCAATTATCAAACTATTATCGTAATATTTCTAATTGAGCTTTGTTCGTGATAAAACAATTCGTAACGCTTTACATGGATCTCCTTTGTATATTATCGATTTCCATGCAGGCACAAACAAACTAACGATATCGATCATTCAGTATACTACGTAATTATTCTTACTGTATGATTCTATTGCGACGATTCCATTAATCATTATATTCTATTGACCGTGTACGTCATCGTTGCTGTTATTGTTATTGTTACTAAAATACTTGTTGTTGTTGCTGATGCCGCTGTTATTACCGCTGTTTTCTCCGCCCTCGCCCCATTAGTTGGTGTTGCTCGTTGTCGTTGTCGTTGTCGTCGTCGTCGTCGTCGTCGTCGTCGTCGTCGTAGGCATTGTCATCGGCATTGGCGTAAACGATACGCTAATTAAACAATAAGATACGACTATCGCCTACTCAATGTACAATATGTAGTATTTACCTGTTGTTACCACCAAACCGTCATCAAAGATATATAAAATATTGTAATTGTAACATACCGCTCATATCCAGTTTTCATTGAGCGCGTCCCTTCTCTTTACTTCTACCTTTACCAGAACAAATATCACTTGCAATATTTACACGTTAGACCGTCCTTCAGAACACATGATTGTAGTCGGAAAAGGTAGTCGCTAGGGTGTCCAATCCATACCTACTTAGTTTCTCGCCCTCGATCGGGTAATTTTTACGATTCTGTTTATATTGGGAACACTTTACAGCCCATGAAAGAAATCCGGAACGAATATTTCATTAAATTGCTAACTTTATTTATTCATATTTACAACTCTTAATATTTAAATGTATTCGTTGAACCATCGCCTATCGTATTTCGATATCCATCGGTGACAGCCAAGGATATTGTTTTGAATAACATATTTCCAAGTCCATGGATTCAAATTCTCCTCCTTGAGCATTTTCTTCTCCATTTCGATTTTATTCATTATATCTTGACTAACCGCCCGAGCAGCGAACGGTAGATTTTTCGCCATCAACTGGAGGGCCTTCTTCACCTAACAAATTCATACCATGTTACGTTTTATGCATCATTAAATGATACCCAAGTGCTTTATTACCTCAAAATATTCAATGGGTCCTCCTACTTCAAGAATAACTTGTCCTGCTTTCACAGGTGTCACATAATGATGGATATTACCTTTTCCACCTCCCATACGAACTCCTTGGCTCTATATGGAACAGTATTGTTGGAAGAACATGTTTGTGAACCTTTTTCAGTTAATACAAATGACTCTGTTGTGCATGTATATTTTATGTATTCATATCAATACCTTTTTGGTAATTGGCTGCCAAAGGTCTGGGATTCTCCAGATCGCAAATGCTTCTTTATGAACAGGTATAACTTTTCTGAGAACCATAAAACGAATCATCTCTAAATGTTCGAACTTCAGTCTACCTCCTCCCAATGCCTATAATTTTTCATGTCTTTACACATTTTTCAAATTACCAAAATTTTTTTAATTATAACAGTGGTTTCCTTACTATTACACCATACTGCTTGTGTAAAAGTGTATTGTGATACTCTTCAGGGCCCCGTAACAAACTCAATTTCTTTTGCATTTTAAAGGGACGTAGGCCTGGTGGGTATACCGGTACTTTTGGTATGATTCTAAGTTTTTGACGTTCAGGATACTCAACATCTGTAAAGTATAATTTCTGCGAATCGTGTTGATTATCTTTTGTATTTAGTTAGAAGTGTTAATACTTTCAAACGATGGCGGAGGAGCGAAAGATTTAACCCCTGCTACCGGTACAGACTGTAGCAATGAACGTGCTGTAAAACAATAGAATAATAAATAAAAATACAATTTCAAAATATTAGATCAAATACTTACGTGTGAGCAACGCTCTCATTATGGATCTGTATGTCTGCATTTTTGAAACTGTAGAGTTAATCACCTTCTCGTCTTCGACATCAAAATCAATCAAAATAGTATCTTAACCTATGTTCTCTGCATAGACAGGTATAATAAACTGTAATAGATTGCGTTGTCTTATGGTAGGACAGAAGTCGATTCAAGAGAGAGTGAGAGAGAGAGAGAGCTATTGCTAGAGTAGCTTCCCTCTCTTTCTAATGGGGCTGAACTGGGCGATTCTCGTACGGCTGTACTGGAGGGCGTGGAGCCCCACGCCCTCCCCACACGGTGTCTGTGGCGCCACTTGCGGGGGTTCTATGACACCCCACTCTCGGCCACACACAGGGTACCTTGCACTCATTGCTGGGGCTCTACGACCCCACCACAATTTTTCCACGGCACGGAGGCTCCGTGACGGAGCCCCCCGGTGAAGGCGCACTAGACCCTGCACGAAGGCCCGCTGGTGGCGCCATTGAACACGTGGGGAGAGACCGTGGGGTCGCGGAGCCCCTGGAGGAGGTGGCAGAGACCCTGCGCGGTGAGAGCGTGGGGTCACGGAGCCCCTGCTGGAGGCGCCCTAGACCCTGCACGGAGGCCCGGTGGTGGTGCCATCGATCACGTGGGCCGCGAGCGTGGGGTCACGGAGCCCCCGGAGGAGGCGCCATAGACCCTGCACGGAGGCCCGGTGGTGGCGCCATCGATCACGTGGCTCGAAAGCGTGGGTTCACAGAGCCCCCGTTGGAGGCGCTATAGACCCTGCACGGAGGCCCGGTGGTGGCGCCATCGATCACGCGGCCCGAAAGCTTGGGGTCACGGAGCCCCCGGTGGAGGCGCTAGAGACCCCGTGTGTGTGTGAGGAAACGAGGGCATCGAACCCCCGGAGCATGCACAAGAATTTTGAAACGTGATCCCTTATCATTGTTGCTCGTACGAGTCTGGAGCTCGGTCTAATGTTGCTCGTGCAACTGTTGAAATCTAACTGACACTTGTGCGTGCTTCCGTGAGCAAATTATATAGTAACCCCAGCAACCATGGCAGTTTCTGCAGATACTACTACAACCCAAGTTTAAAAGACTTAGGCAGTAGTTAGTTTCTGTAGAAACCTGTTGAACCAGACAACTATAATTAGTATAAGGTTGTACACTGTTTATGCAGTTATATTTAATACAATTCGATGAAATGGGGCTTATATTAACTGACGCATGTTTATAGGAATATACATATGTATACATATAAATTCTAATGATATAAAAGTTTGAAATACAATATGATGCGGTACGGTACAATACGTCTATTCGAATCAATTGCTCCCTTGCGACTACA